ACCCCCCAGGCCACCCCTCCACCCCTGACCAGACGCCTGGCCCTGCAGGGCTGGCTGGGCCGCCGAGGGCAGCAGAGACCCAGCCCCTGGCCAGTGGTACCTTCACAGCGCAGCGCGGGCGCCTCCAGGCTCTTGCGGCACACGATGCAGAACTTGCGCTTGTAGAGCCCCCGGGGTCCAAAGCAATGGGCCACCGGGACCTGGAGAGGGCAGAGCACAGCCTCCGTCTGGGGCCTACTGCCCACCCCCACCCCAGGCCTCATCCAGGCCTCTACAGCCCAGAGCTCCCCCATCACCCCACACCACCTGCCTGACCACTGCAGTGCCCCCCAGATCCTCCTGAGGTGCTGTGAGGGGTTCTGCTGGGAACTGCCCCGCACAGAGACCTCCCCACTCTGTGTATAGGGCCACGGCTGCCCTGAGTCCCCCACGGTGACCTCACGAAGTCCCTTCTGTTGGGGGACACCCCTGCTGGTCCTTCCCTGCCTGGCTGTGCTGCCCAGGAAGCCCTGGCACTGACCACATCCCCGGGTCTGTTCCATTTGGGGCAACCTGGATGAAACAGGTGGAGGAGGCACACCAACAGGCAGGAGGGGCAGTGCTGGGGAACGTGGGGGAAACAGGCGAGCAGCAGTGGGGAGTGAGGCCTGGCTGCCGCTCTGGGAGGCGCTCCCAGGCAGGGACGCAGTCAGGAGCTCAGGGATCCAGACTAGCACCAAGGCGCTCTCCCACCCCAGCCCCTACGCTGGTCCCACTGCCCATCCCATCCGACCTGAGGCCTGAGCACCAGTCCAGCCCTGCCTGCCCCAGAGCCCCTCCCCACCCCTCTGCCCTGCCCAGCATGGATGGCAGCCCATACTCCATACGCACTCGGACCAGGCTGGGGGCCACGCCAGTGCAGGGGGTCTTCACCTGCTTCAGGCACTTCTCATGGGACATGAAGTTGCAGACTGTGGGAACAAAGCCATTGGAGTTGGCCTCTGTCCTGCCCAGGAACCAGGAGACCCCAGGCTTGGCATGCAAGCAGGAGGCCTCAGCCAGTGGGACCGCCAANACCCCCCAGGCCACCCCTCCACCCCTGACCAGACGCCTGGCCCTGCAGGGCTGGCTGGGCCGCCGAGGGCAGCAGAGACCCAGCCCCTGGCCAGTGGTACCTTCACAGCGCAGCGCGGGCGCCTCCAGGCTCTTGCGGCACACGATGCAGAACTTGCGCTTGTAGAGCCCCCGGGGTCCAAAGCAATGGGCCACCGGGACCTGGAGAGGGCAGAGCACAGCCTCCGTCTGGGGCCTACTGCCCACCCCCACCCCAGGCCTCATCCAGGCCTCTACAGCCCAGAGCTCCCCCATCACCCCACACCACCTGCCTGACCACTGCAGTGCCCCCCAGATCCTCCTGAGGTGCTGTGAGGGGTTCTGCTGGGAACTGCCCCGCACAGAGACCTCCCCACTCTGTGTATAGGGCCACGGCTGCCCTGAGTCCCCCACGGTGACCTCACGAAGTCCCTTCTGTTGGGGGACACCCCTGCTGGTCCTTCCCTGCCTGGCTGTGCTGCCCAGGAAGCCCTGGCACTGACCACATCCCCGGGTCTGTTCCATTTGGGGCAACCTGGATGAAACAGGTGGAGGAGGCACACCAACAGGCAGGAGGGGCAGTGCTGGGGAACGTGGGGGAAACAGGCGAGCAGCAGTGGGGAGTGAGGCCTGGCTGCCGCTCTGGGAGGCGCTCCCAGGCAGGGACGCAGTCAGGAGCTCAGGGATCCAGACTAGCACCAAGGCGCTCTCCCACCCCAGCCCCTACGCTGGTCCCACTGCCCATCCCATCCGACCTGAGGCCTGAGCACCAGTCCAGCCCTGCCTGCCCCAGAGCCCCTCCCCACCCCTCTGCCCTGCCCAGCATGGATGGCAGCCCATACTCCATACGCACTCGGACCAGGCTGGGGGCCACGCCAGTGCAGGGGGTCTTCACCTGCTTCAGGCACTTCTCATGGGACATGAAGTTGCAGACTGTGGGAACAAAGCCATTGGAGTTGGCCTCTGTCCTGCCCAGGAACCAGGAGACCCCAGGCTTGGCATGCAAGCAGGAGGCCTCAGCCAGTGGGACCGCCAAGGGCCATGATGGGGGCCAATGTTCCGACAGGGCAGAGGACCCGCCACAGTGGGTACTCTCTGCCATAGCTGATGGGGCCAATTCCCACTTGGGTGAGTCAGGGCAGTCCCCCAGCCCCATCCAATTGTGGGAGTGATGGGGAGGGCAGTTCCCACCATGCCCGGGGTCATGGGGGCAGAGGGAAGCCATGGCAACAGCCTCCTCCCCCCAAAAGTGCAGAGAGACACCTTGATCCTCTGCCCCCCCACCCTTCATTCTGAAAGAGCCCAGATCATGAAGCGGGGCCCTGATGGCTCTGACCATCCTAGATGACATATCTGGTATCCCAAGAGTGGTCCTGCCCCCCCCCCACAGGCTCAACTCTCCTTCCAGTCTCTGCAAGGGGCAGGAAGGTAGATGGGCACCTCTGCACATGCCCCCAGACGGGCTTCACCATGGATTCCCTTCCCTCACCCACAACTGTATACACCCCTAATTACCCCTCCCACACGCTGTGTGCCTGCCGAGACCCGCAGCCAGCCTGTGATGACGGGCCAGGACCCTACTGAGGCCGGTAGGACGGCTGACCCAGTGAGGGCTGCATCTACCCCTGTCCAGAGAGGTGGACAGCCCAGAGCCCTAAAGGCAGTGAGCACTCAGACTGTGCTGTACCCCCGAGGCCCACCTGAGGCAAGGGGGCACCCCTACCAGTCCTGGGGAGGCCCAGCGAGACTAAGGCTCAGCTGTGAGATGCACCCAAAGATGGACAGGAATGGGGGAGACCTCAACCAGAGTGGCTGGGGCAGCCTCTGGTGGCACATGCAGTGGGGAGGGTCTGTGAGGATGGGGGACCCAAGGTGGGCCCCACTGAGGTGGGATGGGATGGACAAGGCTGCAGGGGCCGGGGAAGTGAGCAGCTTGCAGAGGGACAACTCCCCAAAACAGTCTTAGGTGAAATTGCCCACTGGGCCCAAAGGCAGCCCCATCCCACCCATTCCGGAGAGGGAGGCAGACAAGCTCCTCCCCAGGGAGACCAGAGCAGCCCGGAGGCCTTGCTTCCCAGAAAACTCCAGAAGCAGCCTGGGCTCAGGTGGGAGAAGAGGAGACACAGAGGCCCAGCAATGAGCTCTGTCAGCTTCCCTTCTCAGCACCCAGACCAGCTCTGCCACAGAGGCCAGCAGCTGTGGGCAGGCCGGGCCCAGCTTCCTCCCCTGGCCCATGAAGATAGCGCCCCATCACCTCACACCACATGTCCTGGGTGCTCCTGGCAGAGGAGGGGGCTCTTCCTCCCACATTCTTGTCAGGCCTTTCTACTTACCAAGATCACCAGCCCCTTCTTGGCTGGGGGAGGGGGGGGCAGATGTCCACACAACTGCCCCGTGAAGGTCTCCATATCAGCCCCACGCCCAGCCTCTTTCAATGAGTTGCTCAGCCCTTTGAACCTGGAGCCCTGCCTTTACCACTCTCACCTGTGTGGAGGAGGGGGAGGCCCTGGGTCCCTGCCTTCACCACCTCTCACCTGTAGAAGGGGGCCCTGGATCTAGCAGAACCGGAGCCCTGACTTGACCACCTCACAAGTGTAGGGGGGGACCCTGGGTCTAGCCTCACACGAACTGAGTAGGCTGCACAAACACATCGTCCACCTTAGTGAGCCTCGTGGGACTCCCGGGGGAAGGCAGGGCAGTGCAGTGTTTCCAATATGACAGAGGCCGGGGATGGCCACTCGGATGCCCGCTGGCCAAGCCACCTGGGGCAGCCCTGGGGGGTCAGGACAACCATGCCATTGACCCTGACAGAGGCATCCTGTGTGAGGGGCCCAGCCTAGACAGGGCCAGGTCTCTACAGACCTCTGCCTTCAGTGTCCCTCTGCCCCCAGGACCAAAGGTCTGTCTCCCTGAGCAGGGCAAAGGCTCCCCAGCCCACCACCCACCTGCCCTGAGGAAGGGGCAGGACTAGGGCGAGCAGAGCCTGGAAGCACACGGACCGGCCGCCCAGGAGCCAGAGGAGGGCGGGCCTTTTCGCCCGGCGGGCGGCTGGGCACTGGGTGGGAGCCCTGTTGGGACACGCAGGACTTGGGGTGGCAGGCCCAGGGCAGGTTGTCCGGGAGCCTGAGCCGAGCGGCGCAGACAGCAGGCCCCTGTGGGCGGCAGAGCGAACGCGCCCTGGGTGC